GGGGTGGGGCAGCTGAAAGTTGCCAGGTGGTACGAGGAAGGCCTTCCATTGGCAGTGCGCTGGGCCTCTTTGTCAAATCAAACAGGGTCCTTCTCTGAGCTTCAAACCTAATCTCTGCAATTTAAATCAAAATTTGTGGACACAGAGGCTTCTACCTGCAGGAGGTGGCGGGAGGGAGAAGGTTAGGGGCCTCTTTCCGTAGTTTAGAGACAGGGGGCTGCTCTGAACTGAAGTCCTTGCTCCCTCCTCTGACCATCCCTCAGCTCTTTTTTCTACAGTGAGAGAGGAAGGAGCTTGCCAAGTGGCAGGAGCCAAGTCATTAAGCAGCCTGCAGGGGCAGAAATGGTCTTTCTGGCCTCAGGACTGGAGCGAGGTTGTCCAAAGCAATTTATAGGCTCACTTGAAAGGTGACATGGACGGGGAAGTGGCTGGGGAAGAAAAATTCCTTCATCCACAGAGCGTGGAGGCAGACCTGCCCTGCCTGTTAACCAGAAATAGTACTGGGAGCTGGGAGCCTGGAGGAACACCTCCAGCCAGATGTGAAGAGACCCTGTGGACAGATGTGTGCATGTGTGAATGCCCCTCTCGCTCTAATGCAGGCCCAGGTTGCGGGGGGCTGGTGGGTGGTGGTGGTTATGCTCTACTCAGTTATTCAAGGGCCCAGGTGGCCCTGGCTTTACCATGTTCAACACGAGGCTGCCCTGTGTCCCAACATCCAGCTGATGGGGAGAGAACACAGAGATCATACCTAGGTCATGGTACCTGAAGTGGCACGCACCACCTCACATGCCATTGGCCAGAACTCATTCCCAAGGATGTGCTAAACTGCAAGGGAGGATGGAAAGTGAAGCTTAGCTGTATGCCCAGGAAGGAGGTGAAATGGATTTGGTGATCCGTCAGCAATCTTTGCCACATGCCCCCAGTAACCCAGAAAATTTGGTGATAGAGGGTTGGACAGAGGTGCCTGAGAAATAAACAGATTGCTGAGACCTGTAGGGCTTGGGACAATATCCCACCTTGGGGTAGCCTTAATAGGTGACCCATCCTTAACCTTAGGAGCAGGGGGCCCTGTGGGGAAGACATTTGGGGGGGCGCGGTCAGGTAAGATCCAACTTGGAGTGCTAGAAGAACTGGGGCAGAGGTGCTCTGGAGGCCTCCGGGGAATGCTCTGAGGAGAGGACGAGGGCCTGGTCACTGAGGGCGAGGTCTGGGTTCCTATGAGGCAGGTACAGGGAGCCTTAGGTCCAGCCCAGGTCACCAGGGTAGAAGAGAAGGCAGGGGTCAGGGACACACACTCCACACTGCAGTACTTGTGTGTAATTCTCCTGTGCCCCATCTTCATGGAAGAAGAGCCGGGGGGGGGGGCCAGGGCCTAGCCGGATGAGGCCACCTAGGGGTGAGCAGACAAGAGATGTATCACTGCTCAGGACGCTGGGGTGAGGGTGGGAAAGCAGGGCGCCTGGCATCTGAGGAGGAGGGTCCCAATGTAAGGAGAAAGGGCTCTACAGGAGAACAGGGACACGGCGCCAAAGAACCCTCTTCTGTACGGGGTATAAGGTGTGGCTTTTCATTTTTATGCTGACGTTGTTACTTTTGGGTGTCCCGAGCTATCCAACAGAACTTTCTGCCATGATGGAAGTGCTCTCTATCTGGCTGTCTCACATAGCAACCACTAGCTGCATGTGGTTACAGAGCGCTTGAAGTGTGGCTAGCATGACTGAGGAACTACATTTTGAATCGTATTCAATTTTAATTAATTTAAATGAAAATAGACACAGGCGGCTAGCAGCTACTGAGTTGGACAGCACAGGCATAGTTTCAGCCCAAGGGAAGTAGGGTGTGGGTTGTCATTACTTTGTCTGAGTCTCCTCATGCTGTGCCTGTCACTGCTCCTGGGCCCTCCGCTCTGTCCCAGCTTTGGCTTAAGATGAGCCCTGGGTGGACAGAGGGTCTATGTCTACCCTCAGGTTTGGGCAGATTAGAGCCTCTGAAATCTTCATTTGCTTTCATCCCTGTGGGTCTGGGAAGAGAGGTCAGTCAGAGTGCTGGGCAGCTGGGAAGCATTACTGAATCTTTGTGGTCCTAGTGCTGGAGATGGAGAAGGGGCTTGGACCCTGAGCTCTCTGTCCTCGGTTTCAAGGTGTTGGGCTTCAGTCCCGGCTCCTTCGTTGATAGGAGGGTCAGAGACATTGAGGCCCGACTGATGCATCCGCAAGAGGCTCAGGGGCGGCTCACAGCTCGCGGATGGGAGATGTAATTGCATCTGCCACTCATCTGCTCCGTGCCCAGACTGTCTAATTGGTAAATGCTTTGATGCCCACTATTCACCCGCCACCCCCGCTCACTCCTCCAACCATCCCCCCAACTGCATTTTGAATCATCAGCACTTTGTTCCTTTCTAGCACATCCCCTCCCCTGGTTCCCAGACCAGCTGAACTAGCTCTGCTTCCAAGCCTATTGTCACTGTCTGCCATCCTGTCATCACTTCAAACATTATCAATAGACATGACTGTCTGTCTCTGTCCCAGAGGGACCCCCAGGTCCAGGGCTGCCTTGCCAGTGCTCTGGGCAACACCCGAGTCCCCGGAGTCTGCTCTACAGTCTAGACCATCCCCCGCCCTCCTCTTGGCTCAGGCGCAAAGCTGTTGGGGCGGGACCTCCACCGATTCCTGTCCCTCCTCTTAGCAGCTCTTCCTCTTCTCTTCTTTCTCTTTATTCTCCTCCCTCTGGAGGAGTTGGTTTTCAACCTCTCTACAGGATACAAGGTGGGCTGGTCCCCAAAATAGTATTTGAAGTTGGTGAGAGGGAGATAACAGGAGAGAGGTGGAGCCCCGTGTGGCTGCAGGGCCCTGGAATCCAGGTGGGTCTGGTCTGCTTCCTGCCCCCTTAAACAGGGTCATCTTTTAATCAATACCAAACTTTTCTTCCAACCTTGAAGGCTACCCCAGTCTCCACAGGCCTGAACTGAAGTTATCCTCAAGTCCTGGTTCAAGTCCTACCTGAGTCCCTGACTCTGGTCTCACTAGGCCTCCCAGGCCTTCTTAGAATGGGCACCAGAAAGCTCTTTCTAAAGGGCAAACGTAAGGTATCCTGCTCTGTGTAACATCTTCCAGTGGACCCTCAATGACTCCCCAGTAAGGGCTGGACTCCTTAGCAGGACTTAGGTGTGTCACAACGTCTTCCTCTTCTCCAGCCCCATACTCTCACGAGGCCAGGCTGCTCACCTTCATTTTCCCCTCTAGCTCACATATGACGTGTGATGGTCCTGTGAAAGGCCTGTTCCTCTGGGTATAGCCAAGATTATTCACAGTTCACCGTGGGCTAGCTCTAAGCCCACTCATTTCTCTTCTACTCAGGAAATGCCCTCACTCTCCATCACCGTTCAGATCTGCTCAGGCACGCCACCTCTGTAACGTATTCCTTGTCTCCTAACGCTAGACAGGCGGCAGTAGTCCTCGGTTCTGTCAAAAGCACCCGCGTGAGGTTTTGTAGTTTTAATTTCCTCATCTCTCCTGCACCTACCCCTAGCACCCAGCACCCAGGTGGGCTCCTTCATATCAGCTAGCAGAATGGAATGAAGCCCACCCTGACCATCAGCCTGGAGGCTTTCTCCCTGCCTGAAGCCGGATTGCAGGTCCTGGCTCAGAATGGACAGATGAGAGGATGAACGCAGGACCTATGGTTGATATCATTCGTCAAGTGCCCTTCAAGCATTGACTGGTACTGAAAGCTGTTGTTTTCCAGGCGTGGCCTCGACCCCAGCCTTCTCCTTTCTGAAGGATGGAGACCCAGGTGGGGCCAGTGTAGTTTCTTTCACAGAGCAGATGCTCCATAAACATTTATTGGATGATTAACTCCCAGTGTTCAGCTCTCAGGATGATGCTGAGCTCAGATTAAGTTCTGTTGTTTTCGTTCTCTTCTTTGTTTTCTGGTCTACAGGGAAGTGCAAACGATAGTCTTAGGGAGGACCAATGTAAGCCACTTCTTCCCACCCACTGTCCCCTTTACGGTTCTAGAGTCAGAGATTTCTGAGCTGGGCCCAGCAAGCTCTCCCCCGTCTCTGGACTGCTCTCTTGGGACCAGCTTCCCACAGCCTCCCCCGTCCCCAGGAGGAGCCAAGACATCTTATTCATGGATGCTCCTTCTGTGCAGGGCTTTGGCGGTGGCTGCTCTTCCACCACTCTGCCACTCGCTCAGCCGGGGCCCTGCCAAGTTTCCTCCTCCACACCTGATGGCGTACCTGGCCGGGTTCTCAGCCTCACTTGGGATTGCTTTCTTTGGTTCCAAGCTGGGTTGCCTTTCCTCTTCTTCTCTGAAGGAGCACCCATGGTGCCTGGACCTTTACCAGTTTGCCACCCAATTCCTTTTATCTCCTGACCTCGTCCCCGTGTGCATCTCTTAGAGCACGGCCAGGGCCCTTCTTACTTGGTCTTTACTTATTTATTTTTCTGGAAGATTTTTTTAAATTTGTTTTTTAATTGAGGTAATATTGGTTTATAACATTATGTAAGTTTCATACGTACAACCTTATATTTCTACTTCTGTATACACTTCAGTGTACTCCCCACCAAATATTTAGTTTCCATTCGTCACATGCAGTTGATCCCCTTTAGCCATTTTGCCCTCCCTGCTCTCCCTTACCCTCCAATCACCACTATGCTGTTCTCTGTATCTCCCTGTTTGGTTTGGTTTGGTTTGTTCATTTATTTTGTTTCTTTGTTTGCTTGTCTGTTTTTATTCCACATATGAGTGAAATCGTATATGGTATTTGTCTTGCTACATGCGACCCACTTCACCTAGCACCAATACCCCCAACATCCATTCATGCCGCTGCAAAGGGCAAGACCCCATCCTCTTTATGACTGAGTAGTACTCCATTGTGTGTGTGTGTGTGGTGTGTGTGTGTGTGTGTGTGTGTGTAGATATAGATATGATATAGATATACACCACATTTTCTTAATCCATTCATTGGAATATTTTTTCACTTTCTCGGTCTTTAGCACCAGACTGCACTCGTCCTCCTTGAGCCTCAGTGGTGTGTGTTACCTCCCTCTATCATGCTGTGGATTCCTTGAGAGTGGGCTCTGGGACTAAGTACAGCTCTTCAGCCTCCCATGCTCTCCACGTTCTCCCTCAGGACCTTGCCCATGGTAAGCCTTAATGCCTTTTTATTGATTACTCAGAGATGGAGGTTCATTAAGGGGTTTTTGAAACTTGGGATCTCTTCCATTAAGACAATGGTACTTGGGATCTCTTCCATGAGGACAACGTTTCCCAAGGTGGGTTGTAGGATATCAATAGGTGTTATAGGATAAAGAGACCCATGATCAACTAAAACATTTCGTAGAGCCCTTAATGTGTTCATGTACATTGTGGTTTTCCAAGTTAAAAGATGTGGGGGTCTAAGTTCCCCATGGATTAGGATCCCCATGGACACAGGACCCTAAGACAGGTACTCAGGATGGTAGGAGACATCTACTATATCAGGTAAAGGATAGAAGGCAACTGGTTAGGGCAAAGACCAGGGTAAGGTCAGCAAGTAAAGCCAACCTCACAAAGATGCACTCTGGATCACAGGGCTCGCACAGCTAACGCCAGATGGGACTCCCAGTAGGTGAAGGGAGCTCTCAGAATCTTATCTCCCCCCAGCACCAGGGGGTGGTGCACTGTCATCAATAGCTTAACCAATAAACTTTCACTCAAACTACCATACACCTGGACCCAACAGCCAGATTACAGACAGAGAATTTCTAATTAAGGACTGCCAGGACTTATAAGCAAAATAGATGGCTTTCTATGAAGCTGGACTGGCCATAGCCAAACAAATTTGGCCAAGAAACCCTTTTTTTTTCTTGAAACCCCTCAGGGGATTGATGTGTCTGGGAACACACCTTGGTAAATGTGCCTTAGAGGCACTAATCTCTCTTCGCATCAGGGAGGAAAATCCATATGACCACCACTGGTGTTCTGTGGACCTTTTGTTTATAAAGCACCTCTGGGTACTTATCCTATCATAGGAATCTCCCAGCCTTCCCCTTGGTAGGACTAACGTGGCCATTGTCCCCATGGTACAGGTGACAGAAGGCAGGGAGGGCCCTGGGTTGGAGAGTCCTGAGTCATGCATTTGAAAGTCTGCTCTGCTAGTTACTATTTGTGGGCTATCTATCTCTGAAATGGGAACATCTGTCTCACAAGGTTACTGACAGGATGAAATGAAAATGTGTTAGGTTACTATGTAAAACCCCCTACCCCAATATGTGTTTATTGGACCCATGCTGTGTGGCTCTCCATAAAGAAGAGTTACCACTCACTGGGTGCCATACACAGTTCTTGGCACTTTCTGTATGCTTTTTTTTTCTCTCTCTCTTTTCTCTTATTTTTTCTCTTTCTCTGTATGCTATTGAATGTAATCCTCCCAATACCCTTGTGGTGAGGGTTGGTTATTATAATCCCCACTTTCTAGATGAGGAAACTGAGGTTCAGAGATTTGAGATTTTCCCAAGTTTACATACCTAAAGTAACAGTCAGAAAACTTGAAGTCAGAGCCAAACCCAAAGCCCATGTTCCATGCTCTTTAATGTTGAGTTAAGATGCTAGTTCTAAAAAATAAAAAAACAAGGCCTGGGCTTCCCTGGTGGCGCAGTGGTTGAGAGTCCGCCTGCCGATGCAGGGGACACGGGTTCATGCCCCGGTCCGGGAAGATCCCACATGCCGCGGAGTGGCTGGGCCCGTGAGCCATGGCCGCTGAGCCTGCGCGTCCGGAGCCTGTGCTCTGCAACGGGAGAGGCCACAACAGTGAGAGGCCCGCGTACCGTAAAGAAAAAAAACAAGGTCTACCTCACATGCAAAAACAAAAACAGATGAAAAGGGTACTCATTCTAGGCTATGCTGAATAGGGTTCCATATCATAAACATCAACAGTATTAATGTTAATCTTTAAAATTAAAAGCAGTAAGTTGGGGTTAAAAGAAGTGTGCCCAAAGCTTAGTTCCACAAGCAGCAAATCTTTCTTGTCTGTCTTCCACTTTCCTGCTCTGGGAAACAGGGGATATTGCCACTATTTCCCAAGGCTGTTGCAAGAAGTAAATTGACCTAGAATATGCAAAGCAGCTACAACAGTGTCTGGCTCTTGGCAGACACTCAGTAAGTGTAGCTGAATGAGATTCTTTGTAGCTTATAATCCAGCAATAACACATAGGAACATGCCCGCAGATAACAGTGATTTTTAACACTGAATATAAGGGCGGTGAAGACATCAGTGCTCATTTCTATTACTGTGTTTTAACAATCAGGCGGTGAGACATGAGGGCAGGGCAGGAGCAGGCAGAATAACCTAGGGGTTAAGAGTACCACACAACCTGATCAAATCCACTTACCAGTTTGGGGCCCTTGGGAAAGTTACTCGGCCTCTCCGTGCCTGTTTCCTCGTCTGTAAAATGGCAGGTTAGTTGTGAGGACTGAAGGAGTGAATATATGCAAAGCACTTAGAACACTGACTGGCACAGGGTCAATGCTATGTAAGCATCCACCACCCCCCGCTACCAGCTGTCTCTCCCTCCTCTGAACCCTTGTAACTCTCATGAATGCCAAAGACAGGTTGGGATAACTTTCATGCTTTGGCATTTTTTGGCGTATACGCGTTTTATTGCTCCTACTAGATTTAAGCAATTTGAGGGCAGGATGCTGTCGGATTCGGCCCACGCAGAGCTCATACAAAAGCAGGCGCTCCACAGCTGATTGTGGAATCAGTGAAGAAACCAATGAATTAGAACACAGCCTTGGGGTCCAGTTCTGAAGGGCAGGGGGCATGTGCTTCCCCCTCCCGTGCAACTCCATGGCCGGGCCCTTTCACTACGCTGGTGTCCCTCTGCTTCTCTCCTCTTGTCCTGGCTACAGAGATCCCAAGAAGTGCACCCGTGCTCTGAAGAGGCAGACTGAGGCTGTAGGGGCCCGGCCGCCCCTCCCCACAATGCTTTGGCCGGTCAGCCAGCACCCGAGACAGCAGACCAGCCTGACAGGCCGGCGGAGTAAGTGCTCAAAAGCATGTGGGAGTGTGAGGTAAGAAAGTGTTCCCCCCACTACTGTCTGAAAGCCCACCCTTGCTCTCCAGGCATCCTCTGAGACAGCTCAAAGATGATTAGCATAGGAAGTCATTAGCTACGAGGCTTTCTGCAGCTCAGGGTAGGAAAAGTGATCAAGGGCCCAAGGGACTGAGATGGGGAGGAGGAAAGGAGGCAAATTCTGGAGCCTGGGAAACAGAGGATTGCTCTCTCTCCTCTCCAGGGTCCTGGTAGTTAGGGTCTGGCTCACAGGGTATCAGAGGGGAAGGAGCTCCAGAGGTCCTCAGTATCCAACCCTCCTAGGGAAATGACCAGAGGGGGCAGACCACACTGCTCACATCTGTCCCAGGCTCATTCCTCACCCCTGTCTTCCCATCCTCTTCCCAACCCCCTCCACTGATGTTCAACACATGGGCCATTCTTCCGGGAGGCCACCTGGCACAGCTGCCCAAACTTGGGCTTTGGGAACAATCAGACCTGATTTCAGATGAGGACTCTCTCAATTATTGTCTATGTGATGCTGGTCAAGTTCCCTAACCTCTCTGGGCTTCAACTTCCAATATTACTAACGTTACTATGCCAACAACACTAATTTCACAATATTGTTGAAATTGACGAGGGCTAATTACATTGTCTCCAATGGTGCCTAGTACATAGTAAGTGTTCAGCAAATTATTATTGGGGGGATACAGTTCCAGGCCTAGTCATACCGTACAATCCCTTTCCCTCTGTTTTCAGCCAGCTGAAAGCCAGCCAGAGTCACGACAAGGCATCAGGAGATCTGGGGTGGGCAGGACAGTCCTTCCTGTTCTCTGGGTGACCTGTCAGGGAGAGTTACAGGCTGAGTGCTGAACCGAACCTCGTGTTTGTATGTGTGTTGTAGGCAAGGGCATTTGCTAATCAGACCAAGCCATCCTCCTGCCCTGAACCCTCTAGATGAGCTGTTTGTCTCCCCTCCCCCTCAATCCCTACTTGCTTTTCTCCAGTAAAGACCTTGGGGTCTGAGTAGACAGATAGGTTGGATGCTTGATTGGGGAAAGAAACATTGCAAGAGTGACATCAGTAACAAACAAGAACAATAGCAAATTTTTGAGGGCAGACTGTTTGGTAAGTTGTATGCCCATTACTTCATTATCACAACTCTTAGAGAAAGGTACTCTTATTATTCCCATTTTATAGATAAAGAAACAGGCTCAGACAGATCCAAAAACTTGTCCAGGGTCACACGGTTAACAAGTAGGGACATCGGATTTGAATTAGTCTGACTCCAGGGTCCATCTACCATGAACCCAATACCTTACCAGATGCCTTAAATAATTTCTAATCCTCACAACAACCTTATGAGCTGGATATTGCTTTTTTTTACTACTAAGAAAACAAAGTTAGAGAGGATAAATGACTTGCCCAAGGTCATACAGCTGGGAGCCGTGAAGCCAGCGTCCAAATCTGAAGCCTATATATTTTCTCCATTCCACTCTACCCTAGAGCCTCTGATTCGGCAGAGCTTGGAAGGGGGACTCTGAAGAGAAGGGAAACTGACCCTGATAAACACCTAGTATATTGTTGATGTTTTTACACAAGCACCTCATTTAATGCTCACAACCACTCCATTTAGAGGGTATAATTAGCTCCAAGGAGAAAATCAAGCTCAGAGAGTGCAGTGACTTTCCCAAGATCATACAGCTACAAGCAGTAAAATGAGGAATCATCTTCACTACTGGCTCCAGAGGACTTGCTGTTTCTACTGGAGTGTACCATCTAAAACGCCCCTTTTGCAGGCTTTGTGACTGCACTTTGTTCCCAGCCCAAGGCTCCCTCTGTGCTTCAGGAGACTCACCTCTATGGATGGCATCACAGGGCTCCTTGCCCTCTGCCTTCCGCTTTGGGTTAGATGAACAGGAAGCTTCGGGAGGAGATCAGAAGCCATCCAAGAAAGATCAGGGTATTTGCTCCGCTTGCTCTCTCCCTCCCTTGCTTTGAAGCTACAGCTCCCCCTCCTCGCATGGCTCCAGCTCTCCCTGGGTCCCCAAGAACACTATTTCAGGCCTGGGGGTGGGAACAGCTTCCTGCTGTTTCCCATCTCCAGCTGCCTCAACATTCCTTGTTGAGTCCCTTAATGCTGTCACACCCCTGCAAATGGTCCCTTCATCACTTACTTTCATCATCCCAGTTAAGTGTCTTTCTGTTTCCTGCTGGGGCCTGACCAAGTCTCCTAAAGTCCATCTGAGGCTGCTCCTCTTGGTCTACTTGGAAGGAAGGCCAGTGGCTTCTTTGCGGGTCAGATAGGTCCAGGGCTTTCCCAGACGAATTAGTGATGGGCAGGACAGTGGGCAGGCCCTGGAGGCAGGCTCCTGATACTGTCCTTGCCTCTGTCCATCTGGAACTGCAGTTTGGGGCAGCTCAGCCTTTCCACTTCCTCATCGTTAGTATGTGGGCTTCAACTAGATGTTCTCTCTTAACTGGAGGGTAAAGGACTTGCCGATCCTGCACAGCAAGGCAATGATGTGAGGACGAGAACTCCTGGCTTTTAAATCAGTAACTGGTTCTCTGCTTTACTCTGCAGTGTTTCCCTTCACAGCTCAATAACTATTTCACCAGCGGTGACTCAAAATAATCACCCCCTCCATGCCATACCAGAGAGCTTAGGTCCTGAAAACAGTCACAGCTCTTTGACTTATTCTGCCACTTTGCCTTCCCAGGTCCCTAGCTTCTGGCTTTCCTCACATGGGAGAGCTGGTTAAAAGTCAACATTCCCAGAACTGAATGAGGAGAAGCTCGGGGAGAAGGGAAGAAGCCTGATCTCTCCCCAGCGGTGTGTGTACCAAGAGAAGATGAATGTGATGCTCTGGGAGTTCAGCTATCTCCCGGGAGAGAAATGCATCCGTTGATTACATTTCCGTTCTGAAAAACATGGTCCTTGGAATAGTGCTTAGCTGATCCTGGCACTGGGCTGTGAAAGCTAAATTGTCTCTGCCCCCAACTCATCCCTCCCACATGGTGGATTTGGAGAAAGAGCTGGATTTGGAGAGGTTGAGGAGGAAGGGGGGCCCAGGACATGGCAGGGGCTGGAGGTAGAGCATGTGAAGACATGGTGCTGTGGGGTTATGCCCCTGGCACTCCTGGGGGGCAAATAGAAGGGCCCGCGCGGGACTGCGCAGGGGCTTAAGAGGTGTGCACAAAGTCAGAGACCTCTCGGCCCGGGCGCCGTCCATGGAAGGCAATGTCGATTCAGCATTGCCCCTCTGCTTCCCACTCAGAACAAACATTCTTTCCTGTTTACACATTAGGGGGTCATGTCTGGAGGAGGTGGAGAGGAGAGCCCCCTGCAGCTCCTCTAGGAAGCTCCTGGGAGGGAGTGATAGGGAACAGACAAGACCAGGGCCAGAGAGCATGGGAGGAGAGAGGATCCATCCATGTTGAGTCCTGGGGGAGGAGGGCTGCACTGCAGACAGCTGGCAGTGCCAGAAGCTGGGGGCAGAGGGCACATGGCAGGAGACAGGAGGAGGAGCTACACTTCACATCTGAGAGGAGGAGGTAGGCTTTTGTTGTTTAACTGAGTGATTCCTGGCCCCGGGGCAACACAGAGCATTTCTCTGACATGCACTAGAGAGGTGACTTAATTGCCTTCAGATTCTGCTTGGGGTTTTTCCCTCTGAATTTCACCAAATGGTCCAGGTTTACCCTGACTGCCATTTTAGTGTGTTTTATTTTCTCTACCACCTAATGTCCCAGAGGTCCCCAGAAGCTGCACACCTTTCTGTAAGCCCCAGTGTGAGCCTCCCTCTGAAAGTCTGGACCAGGCCCGGGAAGATCTGCTCATGGGCTGTGATTTGGGCACCTTGCCCCCTCCCCTGCCCACATGCCCTCCTTCCTAGAGCACACAGCCTCTCAGGCAGTGTCTGAGATGCCATAATATGGAAAGAGCTAATTCCTTGGAAGAAAATGTAGGCTCCTCTTTGGGCCTTGGATTTAAAATGCAGACTCGAGGTAGGGTAGACTGCCTTGCAGTTTAGGGTGAATTTATCAGTTAGCTTTTATCCTCTAAGAGAGACTGATCTGACAGTACCTGGTATCACCTGGAACTGCTCCACCTCTGAACCCTTGACTTCAAACATGCCACTCTCTGGGTACAAATCTTCTGTCCTTTCAGCTTTTCCCTAAACCCCTCATTCTTCCTCAAGACCTTCAGCTCTCAACCCCTCTGAGTCTGTCAGCTCCTCCTGACCTCACCCCTTCCCTGACTAGGTCTCCGCTCCTTGATTGACCATTTGACCCAGCCTCTTCTGTTCTTTCTTTTTTTGAATTTTTGAATTTTTTTTTATACAGCAGGTTCTTATTAGTTGTCCATTTCATACATATTAGTGTATACATGTCAATCCCAATCTCCCAGTTCATCCCACCACCACCACCACTACTTCCCCCCCTTGGTGTCCATATGTTTGTTCTCTACATCTGTGTCTCTATTTCTGCCTTGCAAACTGGTTCATCTGTACCATTTTTCTAGGTTCCATATATATGCGTTAATATACGCTATTTGCTTTTCTCTTTCTTACTTCACTCTGTATGACAGTCTCTAGATCCATCCACGTCTCTACAAATGACCCAATTTCGTTCCTTTTTATTGCTGAGTAATATTCCATTGTATATATGTACCACATCTTCTTTATTCATTCGTCTCTCGATGGGCATTTAGGTTGCTTCCATGACCTGGCTATTGTAAATAGTGCTACAATGAACATTGCAGTGCATGTGTCTTTTTGAATTATGGTTTTCTCTGGGTATATGCCCAGTCGTGGGATTGCTGGGTCATATGGTAATTCTATTTTTAGTTTTTTAAGGAAGCTCCATACTGTTCTCCATAGTGACTGTATCAATTTTCATTCCCAACAACAGTACAAGAGGGTTCCCTTTTCTCCACACCCTCTCCAGCATTTGTTGTTTGTAGATTTTCTGATGATGCCCATTCTAACTGGTGTGAGGTGAT